ATCTTTTTTAGAAAATTTTCAAAAAAATCTTTTTTAGACATTTTTAAAAAAATTCTCTCTTTTAAGAAAATTTTCAAAAATGTTCTCTTTTAAGACAATTTTGCAAAAATTTATTAAAAATTTTTTTCTTTTTAGAAATATTGAAAAAATTCTCTCTTTTTAGACAATTTTCGAAAATAAATTATTCAAAAAATTTTTAAAAAAGTTTTTTTTTTTTGTTAGAAAATTTAAAAAATTATCCATTTTTAGAACATTTACTTAATTTCAAAAAATTCTCTTTTTTAGAAAATTTTCAAAAAATTCTCTTTTTTTGGAAATTTTTCAAAAAATTCTCTCTTTTGAGAAAATTTTCAAAAAATTCTCTCTTTTAAGAAAATTTTCCAAAAATTTATTTAAACAATTCTATCTTTTTAGACAATTTTCGAAAAAAAAATTTTCAGAAAATTTTTAAAAAAGTTTTTTTTTTGTTAGAAAATTTAAAAAGTTATCCATTGTTAAAACATTTACTTAATTTATTTTTCTCCCTTTCCAGATTCCTTATGCTAACCAGTTATAATCGCAATATTGGCAAATACGAAGAGCTCATACGTTCGAAGCGTGAAAAACGCAATCACGACGGTTGGGATTTTCGTCAATATTTCTTTCTACAAGAAGATTTAGCTTTGGTCTTTGAAAAACTTGAACTACATACTGAAGCTCTTATACAGTACGACGAACTAGATGCCATATTTTCACAATTCATAACAAATTCCAGTTTTGGTGAAAAACAAAAATGGTTGGAATATTTTCGCCGTCCCCTAACCTCTTTTCATGGCGTGTGTCTGCGTCGTAAAGATCGTTTTGAGTGGCGAGAAAAAATTCGAAATGATGGTGTTTCTCTGCTAGAGTTTCGAAATTATCTGTTCGAAAGACAGGCGTATCTGCTGCAGCAAAGCAATGACACACCCTGTATAGCAAAGAGATTATTGGGATTTTTATTTTCTACTTTAAGAGAAGTGGAGCTGATTAAATTGGAATGTCAAGAGGGTGCCTTGGCTTGCTGGGAGTTTGTTTGTGCTCTAGAAGTGTTGCAGGTGTGTGAGCTATCTATGGAACCACAAGAAGTAACTTGTTTTCAGCATTGTGCTCCCATATGGAATTTGGCTAAAGATAAACTGTATGAATTGGGCAAACTATGTGGTTTATTGCCGGGTTGTACACCCACCTCCGCTCAACTGCATATAGTGGTGCAACTTTCAGCAGGTATAGGAGACACGCCAATGGATCAGCAACAATTTTTAAATCCTACGCCCCAGCAAAGGGATCGTTCACCAGCCCGAAGGCCTCGCAAGTCAGCACCAGAACAGCTAAAAGAGGCTTTGGGTTCCAATCAAGCCTTCCAGAAACTTTATTTAGAATTGGCTGAATTAGCTATCAGCACTTATAAGCATGTATCACGTTTAAGGTCTGCCCGTCTAGTGGGTTTGGATTTAGGTAATTTTTATTGTGCCCTTAATGAGCCGCACAAGGCAGTGGGCTTTTTTACGGATCTGTTAAGAGAACTTAAAGCAGAAAATTGGCCAGCATTATGCTCTCAGACTCTATTGGAGTTATCGAACTGTTATCGCAAAATGGGTGATGCCATGGCTTATACCAAAACCTGCAGTGCCATTTCCTGCTGTCCTGAATTAGAAACTCTAGTTAGATCTTTTTACTTTGATGAATTCTTAAAATCCCTAAAATTACTCAAATCGGCCCTTTCGGCCCAACCCTCTGTGGAAAATGCCAACTTTTGTGTGTTAGAAGATCACTTTCGCATCTTAAATATACAAGTACTGAACGATAAACCCATTATACAGGATGAATACGTTTGTGTACAATTGCAATTCGAAAGTCTATATCCTCGAGATGTGCTTGTAGATGAGATTAAATTGTCTTTTGAACGTTATGTGACACCATTGCCCACTCAACAGAATATGGTTAATGTGGGTTTAAATAAACCAATAGCAGCTAATAAGGAAAATCGTTTGAAATTTTCTTTACTTCTGGATCGTAAACAAGATACTACTCTTGCGTGTGCTTCGGTGGCCTGTGATATACCGAAACCTAAACAGCCAGTACGGCGTACTAGTAGTACTAAACGCAAACTATCACCAAGTGTTCAATCGGACTTTACAAATTTCGTAGCGGCCGAAAATATAGTCATACATCCTGGTCTCGAAGTGGTGGAGTTGAAGACTAAGGGCACACGGGTTGGTCAATGGGAATTTAAGCAGGTAAGAAAAGAGTTTCTTCAGTTCACCACAAACTATTATTTTATACAATTTATACTTTCCAGCTCTGCATACGAATGTCACAATTGGAATTTCTTTCTGAACAACTGCCTGTTAAATGTCCACCCTTTGAGATTACTACAAAACCTGCTACAGCTGTTTTAAACTTTAAGACTTTAATTGCGGGCATTGAACAACCCATACGTCTTCATGTCTCCGGTGGTAGTTTTATATTTCCACCAGATGCCAAAATAACACTAAAATGTTCCAAAAATTTACGCATACGTATGCAAAATCAAATTAAAGAAGAAGATTCCGACACCAATAAAGAGAATCCCGATGAAGATGCCACTTTTGAGAGTAATTTAAATGTACCGCTGATGAATTTTAAATCATTCGAGGAACGTGATATACCATTGGAAGTTTTAACGGATATGCCGGGACGCAAATTGACCAAACACCTAGAACATCACATTTCATTGAGTTGCCCCTGGTCACGCAATGAACTACAGATACCCATTGAATTCCAACCGGCCATAGAGGCCTCATGTCACTTGCATACCTGTGGTACGCAAAAGTTTTTGCAAGTGATTGTTCGGGGTTTAGAGGCGCATCTGTACTTGACCGAGGCACGGGTGCGTTGTGATGTGCCAGGTGTACGTTTGATCGATTTGAATCCTCCAACACAACAGAGAATTGTGTGTAATCTTTATAATTATTTTAAAAAATTATCACTTATTTTCATTGCAAAATAATGACTTTATTTAATGATTTATCTCTTATTTTCTTTAACTCAAGGAAATCTATAAATCTCTGACGGTTTATTTCCTATACGAAATCCAAGTGGAACCCTTAAATGCTGAAGTTGAATTTCCTGTCATCAAAGTGCATTTTGTTACCAAATACTCTAGCGTGGAGAAACCCTATTTACTGCGTAATTTTGGCTGTGCCTTTGATTTGGTGGATTATGTGACTTTGTTTAAGGTTCAGGCACAACTGGAACCGAATGAGTTGTGTCGTCTAAAGTCTGTGTGCAATTTAAATATAAAAATCACTAAAATCCATGAAAATCCCTTTGTTGATCTAATGTATGAAGTGTTGACAGATCAAAATTCTTGGGCTGTTTGTGGTCGTTCATCAGGTAGTGCTATTAAGTTAAAAATTTCCATTTTATTTATTAAACCATTTCCTTTCCTTTATTTCAGGTGTCATTTCCATGAAAGAGGTTGAAAGTCATTCCATTAGTTTGGACGTCATGCCCCTCTGTACCGGTTTCTTACCTATGCCTAGCATACGTTTATCAAAATATACCGCTGGCGGTAAAAATAAAACCGATACTCACTCCAAAGTTCATCCGTTTCCACCCGGCCAGTTATATAATTCTACAAAATCAATGCAAATACATGTTATTGCTACCGCGGTCGAACAATAATTAGATTTTTTTAATTATTATTTTTTTTCTATTTTTATTATAATAATTAATAATTATAAGGTGAATTTATTTATTTAATTCTACTTTTTTTTATTTAGACAAAAAGTATTATTGTTAATCATTTACATATACAAAAATAAACATATATTAGAGGTCATTATAAATAAATTATATAAATATATAACGAACTATAGAAATAATAATGTTAATTTTTAACAGGAATTTTGTTAATATTAAGATACTATAAAGATGCATTAAAAAATTGTATGTGACAATGCTGCAGTACCAATCAGATCATAACTTTGTTGAATGCCGACTCTTGGTAATATATAGTCAACTAAAAGCCGTTCAAATCATCTAAAGTTCCATAGAAGCTCCCAATATCAGCTCAATTTCCCTGAAGAAAAGTAACACACTTTTTAGTTCATTTTTCGGCACTTACGCGATTGTGTGAAGAAAATTTCCTTTGATCTGTAATACGTCTTCAATTTCAACACTTTTTCGGATACACGTCAGTTCAAGTGGTTACATTAGGACGATAAATCTCAGAGGAATCAGTAGTCTTCATGTTGGTAAAAGGTATGAAATATCAACTCAAATTCTAAAAAAGGGTTCTAATTCAAGTCTAGTTCAGTTCAAGTTAATAATTCTTGTTTAGTTCAACTTCAGTTCTAGATCAGTTCAAGTATAGTTCTAGTTCAGTTATAGTTCAGATCTAGTTTAGTTCTAGTTCAGTTCTAGTACAGTTCTAGTTCAGTCCTAGTTCAGTCCTAGTTCAGTTCTAGATCAGTTCAAGTATAGTTCAAGTATAGTTCTAGTCCAGTTCTAGTTCAGTTCTAGTTCAGTTCTAGTTCAGTTCTAGTTCAGTTCAGTTCTAGTTCAGTTCTAGTTCAGTTCTAGTTCAGTTCTAGTTCAGCTCTAGTTCAGTTCTAGTTCAGTTCTAGTTCAGTTCTAGTTCAGTTCTAGTTCAGTTCTAGTTCAGTTCTAGTTCAGTTCTAGTTCATTTCTAGTTCAGTTCTAGTTTAGTTCTAGTTCAGTTCTAATTCAGATCTAGATCAGTTCTAATTCAGATCTAGTTCAGTTCCATGTTTTAATTACATACATATACATATCAGAAAAAAATCAAATCATAGTTGTGTTTTAATAATTAGGTTTTTGTTTATTTTCTTCTACATTTTCTAAACAAAAGATGAGTTCTAAAAAAATAACTAACATTGGTTATAAATTCGTAAAATAAACGACTTCAAAAAACACTGCAACAAAAAATTAAATAAATAGAAACTTAAGAAAATTTCACATTACTCAAATATTATACAAAATAGTGTGATCTTGGTAAAATACAAAAAAAAAAAAAAAAAAATAATCATCAAATGATGGCCATTTTTTAAATATACACATATTTCATCAATTATTTGAAAAGTGTGAAATAAAACCTTTAAAAATATACTACAAATATCAATGTACAACATGTTTGGCAGTATTGAACAATTTTATAAACAACATATTTCTTCATATTTTTTACTTGCACACTAATCTCTAAAAATCCATATTATTTTTCACTTTTCAGTTGTTCTAATAATTTCCCCATATTGTCATAATCTAAACGATAAAGACGCCATTCTTCTGTTTCGCTTAAATCGCTAGCACCCATTTTCTTATAGAATTTCGTGGCAGGATTATGCGCTAAAACATGAAAATCCAAACGTTTACATTTAAATTCATTAGCTTTTGCTGCAACTTCCGAAAATATGCGCGCACCGGCACCAATGCCACGATATTTGGGACGTACATAAATGTCTTCTAAGAAATATGATCTACCTTGCCAGGTGGAGTAGGAGAAGAAACAGATGGCATATCCGATAATGGTGCTAGAAATAAAAACAATATTTTGATTAAATCTCAAGTTTACATCATTTCCAACTATTATATTGAAATATTATATACTATGTACTTGTACATTTTTATGTGAGACTTACGGTTGATTTTCTTCAATTAATTCCAAAACATAAATGTGACAACATTCCCGATTACCATTGAGACCAGAATCCCGTATAAGATCTATAAGAAATAATTAATATGTTTATGTGCATTCGAGTTGTTTTATATTTTTACGAAATATTTTGTGGAAATTGTAGGAATTTCAATAAGTTCAGCTATAGTTCTAGTTAAGCTCTAGTTCTAGTTCAGTTCTATTTCAGATCTAGTTCAGTTATAGTTCATTTCTGGTTCAGTTTTAGTTCATTTCAAGTTTAGTTTTTGTTCCAGTTTAGTTCTAATTCAGTTTTAGTTCAATTTCAGTTTAATTTTAGAACAGTTTTAATTTACATAGTTCAGTTCTAGTTCAGGTTAGATCAACTTTAGTTTCAGTTCTGGTTCAGCCATAGTTCAATAGTTCTCGTTCAGTTCTAGTTCAATTCTAGCTTAATTTTAGTTATTGCTCAGTTCTAGTCCAGTTCTAGTTCAGTTCTAGTTCAGTTCTAGTTCAGTTTCTAGTTCAGTTTCTAGTTCAGTTCTAGTTCAGTTCTAGTTCAGTAGTTCAGTCTAGTTCAGTTCTAGTTCAGTTCTAGTTCAGTTCTAGTTCAGTTCTAGTTCAGTTCTAGTTCAGTTCTAGTTCAGTTCTAGTTCAGTTCTAGTTCAGTTCTAGTTCAGTTCTAGTTCAGTTCTAGTTCTAGTTCAGTTCTAGTTCAGTTCTAGTTCAGTTCTAGTTCAGTTCTAGTTCAGTTCTAGTTCAGTTCTAGTTCAGTTCTAGTTCAGTTCTAGTTCAGTTCTAGTTCAGTTCGAGTCAGTTCTAGTTCAGTTCTAGTTCAGTTCTAGTTCAGTTCTAGTTCAGTTCTAGTTCAGTTCTAGTTCAGTTCTAGTTCAGTTCTAGTTCAGTCTAGTTCAGTTCTAGTTCAGTTCTAGTTCAGTTCTAGTTCAGTTCTAGTTCTGTTATAGTTTAGTTCTAGCTTAGTTCTATTTCAGTTCTAGTTCAGTTCTAATTCAGTTCTAGTTCAGTTCTAGTTCAGTTCTAGTTCAATTCTAGTTCAGTTCTAGTTCAGTTCTAGTTCAGTTCTAGTTCAGTTCTAGTTTAGTTCTAGTTCAGTTCTAGTTCGGTTCTAGTTCAGTTCTAGTTCAGTTCTAGTTCAGTTCTAGTTCAGTTCTAGTTCAGTTCTAGTTCAGTTCTAGTTCAGTTCTTGTTCAGTTCTAGTTTACTTCTAGTTCAGTTCTAGTGCAGTTCTAGTTCAGTTCAGTTCTAGTTCTGTTTCTAGTTCAGTTCTTGTTCAGTTCTAGTTTACTTCTAGTTCAGTTCTAGTGCAGTTCTAGTTCAGTTCAGTTCTAGTTCAGTTCTAGTTCAGTTCTAGTTCAGTTCTAGTTCAGTTCTAGTTCAGTTCTAGTTCAGTTCTAGTTCTAGTTCAGTTCTAGTTTAGTTCTAGTTCAGTTCTAGTTCGGTTCTAGTTCTAGTTCAGTTCTAGTTCAGTTCTAGTTCAGTTCTAGTTCAGTTCTAGTTCAGTTCTAGTTCAGTTCTAGTTCAGTTCTAGTTCAGTTCTAGTTCAGTTCTAGTTCAGTTCTAGTTCAGTTCTAGTTCAGTTCTAGTTCAGTTCTTGTTCAGTTCTAGTTTACTTCTAGTTCAGTTCTAGTGCAGTTCTAGTTCAGTTCTAGTTCAGTTCTAGTTCAGTTCTAGTTCAGTTCTAGTTCAGTTCTAGTTCAGTTCTAGTTCAGTTCTAGTTCAGTTCTAGTTTAGTTCTAGTTCAGTTCTAGTTCGGTTCTAGTTCTAGTTCAGTTCTAGTTCAGTTCTAGTTCAGTTCTAGTTCAGTTCTAGTTCAGTTCTAGTTCAGTTCTAGTTCAGTTCTTGTTCAGTTCTAGTTTACTTCTAGTTCAGTTCTAGTGCAGTTCTAGTTCAGTTCAGTTCAGTTCTAGTTCAGTTCTAGTGCAGTTCTAGTTTAATTTAGTTCAGTTCTAGTTCAGTTTTAGTTCAGTTCTAGTTCAGTTCTAGTGCAGTTCTAGTTTAGTTCTAGTTCAGTTCTAGTTCAGTTCTAGTTCAGTTCTAGTTCAGTTCTAGTTCAGTTCTAGTTCAGTTCTAGTTCAGTTCTAGTTCAGGTCTAGTTCAGTGCTAGTTCTAGTTCAGTGCTAGTTCAGTTGTAGTGCAGTTCTAGTTCTAGTTTAGTTCTAGTTCGGTTCTAGTTCTAGTTCAGTTCTAGTTCAGTTTTAGTTCAGTTCTAGTTCAGTTCTAGTGCAGTTCTAGTTTAGTTTAGTTCAGTTTTAGTTCCGTTCTAGTTCAGTTCAAGTTCAGTTCAAGTTCAGTTCTAGTTCAGTTCTGGTTCAGTTCTAGTTCAGTTCTAGTTCAGGTCTAGTTCAGTGTTAGTTCAGTTCTAGTTCAGTGCTAGTTCAGTTGTAGTGCAGTTCTAGTTTAGTTCTAGTTCAGTTCTAGTTCAGTTCTAGTTCAATTCTAGTTCAGTTCTAGTTCAGTTCTAGTTCAGTTCTAGTTCAGTTCTAGTTCAGTTCTAGTTCAGTTCTAGTTCAGTTCTAGTTCAGTTCTAGTTCAGTTCTAGTTCAGTTCTAGTTCAGTTCTAGTTCAGTTCTAGTTCAGTTCTAGTTCAGTTCTAGTTCAGTTCTAGTTCAGTTCTTGTTCAGTTCTAGTTTACTTCTAGTTCAGTTCTAGTGCAGTTCTAGTTCAGTTCAGTTCTAGTTCTGTTTCTAGTTCAGTTCTATTTCAGTTTCCAGTCAGTTGTATAAGATTCTTCAAATACGTTTCAATAAAGAATAAAAAAATATTGGGAAAGTTACTTTGCAGGGGAATGGTCCAAACCGATTTTAAAATATTTTTTATACTCTCCTATATAACACTTTTACAGCTAAATATTACTATTTTCATGACCTACAATTTATTATAAAATAATTTAGCAAATTCACTTTCTTTGTAGGGTATAAAAAGTACACATTTACCAACTATAAACATCTTAATTGTTTTGTTTATTTTGTTATCTTAGTTTGTTTATAACTTACCTTCTTCGGTTAGATTTGATTTGCCTATGCCATCATGCAAATTAGCCAATTCCTATATACGAACAAGTATTTATTTAAATATCAGCTATGTAATACCATTCATTATATTTACGATATATAGTATATATCACTATGTAATATTTTTCTATTACCTGTATCATATCTTTGACAATTTTTATATCTTTTATTTCAGCTTTACGAAAATTTAATTGTTTTTTTGTTGTCATATTTATTTCCTTGTTTATTGATTATTATTGTTTTTAATAAACACTTTTCACCAAATCTGAGTAACAACTAATTGGCCTTGTTGAAGTTCTGCGGAAATTTTCCTAAAAGAACGCACTAATAAAAAGCAATTGCACTTATCATTACGTTTAAATTGGCGGTGTATAGAAAGAAAGCACAGTGATGGGACTGGGGTAAAAATTCGCTAATATTATACGCAGCAAAAGTACTATTATATTAGTACTATTGTGATAGTTAGAAACTTTTTAGTTCTACGAAATTAAGAAAATAACATTTTGAAAATCTTATTGAAAATGTGTCTATTTTTTACTCATAAAATTAAACAAAAAATATTTTGTTCAACATTTTTTGAAATTTTATCTAATTACTTTAAATTTTTGGTACATTTAATATTGTATTTTTGTACCAAATTAAAAATGGCAAACCCATCACAGCTATTAAACTAATACTACTTAGTTGCCAAGTTGTTTCGTACGCGAACATTACAATAACTCAACTGAGCAAATCGGAGGGATTGATTAAAACATATCGCTCATTTACTACATAACCTAATATATGTAGATAATTCTTTCGATTCTTTTGTATAGTACATTTTCAGAGAATTCCTTTTTATAGAAAACTTTCGAAAAATTTATTATTTTTTATTATTTTAATCTATTTTTTTATTGAAAATTATCGAGAAAATTCTCTTTTTATAGGCAATTGTCGAGAAAATTCTCTTTTTGTGGAAAATTTTCGAGAAAACTCTTTTTTTTTGTAGTTCAGTTCATTTTCATTTCTATTTCAGTTCTAGTTGTAGTTAAGATTTAGTTCAGTTCTAGTTCAGTTTTAGTTCAGTTATAGGTCACTTATAGTTCAATTTTAATCTCTTTTTCATAGACAATTTTCAAGAAAATTTTCTTTTTATGGACAATTTTCGAGACAATTTTCTTTTTTGTTGTTAAGTTCATTTTCATTTCTATTTCAGTTCTAGTTGTAGTTAAGATTTAGTTCAGTTCTAGTTCAGTTATAGTGCAGTTCTAGTTCAGTTCTAGTTCAGTTCCAGTTCAGTTCTAGTTCAGTTCCAGTTCTAGTTCAGTTCTAGTTCAGTTCTAGTTCAGTTCTAGTTCAGTTCTAGTTCAGTTCAAGTTCAGTTCTAGTTCAGTTCTAGTTCAGTTCTAGTTCAGTTCTAGTTCAGTTCTAGTTCAGTTCTAGTTCATTCTAGTTCAGTTCTAGTTCAGTTCTAGTTCAGTTCAGTTCAGTTCTAGTTCAGTTCTAGTTCAGTTCTAGTTCAGTTCTAGTTCAGTTCTAGTTCAGTTCTAGTTCAGTTCTAGTTCAGTTCAGTTTCTAGTTCAGTTCTAGTTCAGTTCTAGTTCAGTTCTAGTTCAGTTCTAGTTCAGTTCTAGTTCAGTTTAGTTCAGTTCTAGTTCAGTTCTAGTTCAGTTCTAGTTCAGTTCTAGTTCAGTTCTAGTTCAGTTCTAGTTCAGTTCTAGTTCAGTTCTAGTTCAGTTCTAGTTCAGTTCTAGTTCAGTTCTAGTTCAGTTCTAGTTCAGTTCTAGCTCATTCTAGTTAAGTTCTAGTTCAGTTTAGTTCTAGTTTAGTACTAGTTCAGTTCTAGTTCAGTTCTAGTTCAGTTCTAGTTCAGTTCTAGTTCAGTTCTAGTTCAGTTCTAGTTCAGTTCTAGTTCAGTTCTAGTTCTAGTTCAGTTCGTTCAGTTCTAGTTCAGTTCTAGTTCAGTTCTAGTTCAGTTCTAGTTCAGTTCTAGTTCAGTTCTAGTCAGTTCTAGTTCAGTTCTAGTTCAGTTCTAGTTCAGTTCTAGTTCAGTTCTAGTTCAGTTCTAGTTCAGTTCTAGTTCAGTTCTAGTTCAGTTCTAGTTCAGTTCTAGTTCTAGTTCAGTTCTAGTTCTAGTTCAGTTCTAGTTCAGTTCTAGTTCAGTTCTAGTTCAGTTCTAGTTCAGTTCTAGTTCAGTTCTAGTTCAGTTCTAGTTCAGTTCTAGTTCAGTTCTAGTTCAGTTCTAGTTCAGTTCTAGTTCAGTTCTAGTTCAGTTCTAGTTCAGTTCTAGTTCAGTTCTAGTTCAGTTCTAGTTCAGTTCTAGTTCAGTTCTAGTTCAGTTCTAGTTCAGTTCTAGTTCAGTTCTAGTTCAGTTTAGTTCAGTTCTAGTTCAGTTCTAGTTCAGTTCTAGTTCAGTTCTAGTTCAGTTCTAGTTCAGTTCTAGTTCAGTTCTAGTTCAGTTCTAGTTCAGTTCTAGTTCAGTTCTAGTTCAGTTCTAGTTCAGTTCTAGTTCAGTTCTAGTTCAGTTCTAGTTCAGTTCTAGTTCAGTTCTAGTTCAGTTCTAGTTCAGTTCTAGTTCAGTTCTAGTTCAGTTCTAGTTCAGTTCTAGTTCAGTTCTAGTTCAGTTCTAGTTCAGTTCTAGTTCAGTTCTAGTTCAGTTCTAGTTCAGTTCTAGTTCAGTTCTAGTTCAGTTCTAGTTCAGTTCTAGTTCAGTTCTAGTTCAGTTCTAGTTCAGTTCTAGTTCAGTTCTAGTTCAGTTCTAGTTCAGTTCTAGTTCAGTTCTAGTTCAGTTCTAGTTCAGTTCTAGTTCAGTTCTAGTTCAGTTCTAGTTCAGTTCTAGTTCAGTTCTAGTTCAGTTCTAGTTCAGTTCTAGTTCAGTTCTAGTTCAGTTCTAGCTTTTCGTTAGTTCAGTTCAGTTTAGTTCTAGTTAGTACTAGTTCAGTTCTAGTTCAGTTCTAGTTCAGTTCTAGTTCAGTTCTAGTTCTAGTTCAGTTCTAGTTCAGTTGTTCAGTTCTAGTTCAGTTCTAGTTCAGTTTGTTCAGTTCTAGTTCAGTTCTAGTTCAGTTCTAGTCGAGTTCTAGTTCAGTTCTAGTTCAGTTCTAGTTCAGTTCTAGTTCAGTTCTAGTTCAGTTCTAGTTCAGTTCTAGTTCAGTTCTAGTTCAGTTCTAGTTCAGTTCTAGTTCAGTTCTAGTTCAGTTTCTAGTTCCCAGTTCTAGTTCCGTTCTAGTTCAGTTCTAGTTCAGTTTCTAAGTTCGAGTTCTAGTTCAGTTCTAGTTCAGGTTCTAGTTCAGTTCTAAGTTCAGTTCTAGTTCAGTTCTAGTTTCCGTTCTAGTTCAGTTTCTTAGCTTCAGTTCTAGTTCAGTTTTCTAGTCAGTTCTAGTTCAGTAGTTCAGTTTCTAGTTCAGTTCTAGTCGTTCTAGTTTCCTTATAGTTCAGTTTCTCGTTCAGGTTCTAGTTCAGTTCTAAGTTCAGTTATAGTTCAGTTTAGTTACAGTTATAGTTCGTTCTAGTTCAGTTATGTTCAGTTCTAGTAGTTCTAGTATCTCTAGTTCAGTTCTAGTTCAGTTCTAGTTCAGTTCTAGTTCAGTTCTAGTCAGTTGTCAGTTCTAGTTCAGTTCTAGTTCAGTTCTACTTCAGTTCTAGGTTCAGTTCTAGTTCATTTTAGTTCAGTTCTAGTTACGTTCCAGGTTGAGTTTAGTTAGTTCTAGTCAGTTCTAGCTTCAGTTCTAGTTCAGTTCTAGTCAGTCTAGTTCAGTAGTTCTTTCTAGTTCAGTTTAGTTCAGTTCTAGTTCAGTAGTTCAGTTCTAGTTCAGTTCTAGTTCAGTTCTAGTTCAGTTCTAGTTCAGTTCTAGTTCAGTTCTAGTTCAGTTCTAGTTCAGTCTTAGGTTAGGTTAGTTCAGTTCTAGTTCAGTCTTAGGTTAGGTTAGTTCAGTTCTAGTTCTGTTCTAATTAAGTTTTAGTAAAGCTCTAAATCAGTTCTAGTTCAGTTTTCTCTTTTTTGAAAACTTTTGGATTTTTTTAATTGAACTGAAAAGTAATTCTAAAAGTTAAAAAAACGGTTTAATTTAAATATTTTATGACTCTTTTCTTTAAAAATACAATACTAATTACAGTTACAAATGCTTATTTTAATACAAAAAATATATATATTTCCCGATATTATTCCTTTTTCAATTCCTCCACCAAATTCTTAATATCTTTCTCTTGTAAACGATAAAAATGCCATTCTTCTGCTTCCGTTAAATCGGTGGCACCTAATTTCTTATAGAATTTTGAAGCTGGATTCCAAGATAAAACATGAAAATCAACACGTTTACAGTTGAATTCATTAGCTTTAGCGGCAACTTCTTTAAACATGCGAGCACCAGCTCCAATGCCACGATAAGCTGGACGTACATAAATATCTTCCAGGAAATACGATTTACCTTGCCAAGTGGAGTAGTTGAAAAAGCATATGGCATATCCAATAACGGTGCTGAAAATATAAATATAAGTGAGCATTATTTGTTAAACAAAAATTTTAAGATTTTAAAATTTTGACACGATATTGAACAATTATAATTGGACATTTTCAAATTCCATAAGACCTCTTTTTTAATTATTTCTAGTAGTATATTTCCATTCTTTCCTTTTTTAAATTTTCTCATTTTTTTTTTTTTTTTTTGAAAATGCTGCCTATCTTAAGTAGTCTGACTGTGTTGTATTGATCAAAATCTACGTACAATTATTTGTATTTGTAAAATGTCTCTCCTTATCGTAACTTGTTTACCAAGCATACAAACAAGTTCAATGTTAAAATCAATAAAATATTTTCTGTAAGAGTGTCTTTATTAACAAATTTTGTTTTTCTAAACAAATATTTGAGATATTTATGGAAATTATAAAATTTTAAATGATTTATTAAATATTTGTTCAATGTATATAAATACCTATTTGTACTGAATATTTACACTTTGTGACAATATACTTACGTTTTCTCCTGTTCAACTAAATCCAAAACGTAAATATGGCAATATTCTTGACCACCATCAAGGCCAGAGTCGCGTATTAGATCTAGAGAAAAAATATGTTTTAAAAGGTTATTTTTCGCAGAAAAATCTTTGGTAGAAAATGTTGAAATTTGTTTAAAGAACATTTTCGAAGAAATTTTTTAAAGAAAATTTTGGAGAAATTACTCTTTTTACAGAAAATTTTGAAGAAATTTCTTTATTTATAGAAAATTTTCGAGAAAATTCTTTTCTTATAGAATTTACGATAAAAAATTTTTAAGAAAATTTTCGATAAAAACTGTTTTTTAAAAAAAAAAAAACTTTGAGATAATTCCCATTTTATAAAAAATTTTCGAAAAAATTTCCAGATACAATTTTTTTAGAAAAAAATTATTGTTCTAAAAATTTAAAAAATTTCTTTAAAAATTATTACCCACCTTGCTCCGTCAACTGGGGACCATCACTCATTTTCTCAAAATCAGCCAATTCCTGTAATAAAATTGTAAATTAATACAATAATTTCTTTCAGTGTATCCTCATATAACTAATCAGCTGTTTTAACGACATGCCGCTGTTTCTGACAAGCACATACAGTTCTTATTAGAACATTTTCTATTAAACAGTGATTTTAATGAATTTATATTATTTCTTACCTGTATCATTTCTTTTACATCTTTTATATCTTTTACTTGAGCTTTGCGAAAATTAAATTGTTTTTTTGTTGCCATGTTTTCCATAAAAAATTTAAATAAAACACCTGGTATTTGTAAATGCGAATGTACTTCAACTAATTTAGTGTAAGAAATACTCTTCCATACAATTTACTAGCGAAGAATTAACTAACGCAAAACTAAAATCTTATTCTCACTCTCTTATCAAATTGTTTTTGTTCTGTGTGATTTTCAATGTGATTAATTTTGTTGTTCTCTTAGTTTTAAAACTTTGCACTTTTATAAGAGAAAATTAGCAATAAAAGATAATTCAAATATAGTTGACTATTTGATGCCCTAACTAACTAAGTAACGAACGAACGAACGAACGAACGAACGAACGAACTAACTAACTAACTAACTAACTAACTAACTAACTAACTAACTAACTAACTAACTAACTAACTAACTAACTAACTAACTAACTAACTAACTAACTAACTAACTAACTAACTAACTAACTAACTAACTAACTAACTAACTAACTAACTAACTAACTAACTAACTAACTAACTAACTAACTAACTAACTAACTAACTAACTAACTAACTAACTAACTAACTAACTAACTAACTAACTACTAACTAACTAACTAACTAACTAACTAACTAACTAACTAACTAACTAACTAACTAACT